CCCCAAAACCCCAAAACCCCAAAACCCCAAAACCCCGGTTGGAGATAATTATATTGAAAAGTCAATGTGATACGATAAATCTTAATGAAAAGAGTCATCGAATGATCCATAGTGACCATTCCAGAAATCGAATGTCAAAGTCTCAGCAACGCATCTATTGTTGTTAGCAGTGTTTGCCCAGACTTGAGCGCTACCTTCACTAATAACAGTTGCTTGGAGTTTATTGTAAGAGAATAAATCTTCATCCTTTTCCTCTATTGCCTTATGATATTCGTAGCATACGCTTCCAGATTCTGGATCATTCTTAGAGAATTTGCTGCACTTCAGACTTTTCATCTTCTCTGACCAATTGCGGTAATATTTCTGTGCTAATTTGTCTCCAAGTTTGAGAGGGCACCAAGCCCTACTGTCTTTATTGAATCCACAGAGAGATTCTTCAGTATAATTTGTCTTCACATCGAAATTTTTAGGATTCACATCTGAATATGTTGCAATGAGACAGTTTTTCGCTGGTAACTTTCTGGAAAGATGAGTCTTCATATTCTTATCAGCTTTTCTACATTGGAACAAATTCTTTCCCAACTGAACGTGATTGACAGACTCACAATAAAGACTTAAGGTAGGAGTTATCTTTCCACCATCCAAAAATGAGGTATCTTCTTCCTTCATCAGATGAGATGGGTCATTCTCTTCATTAAAGAATCCTGTGTCTGCAAAAGCAAAAAGGACTCCGTCTTCGAGGTAGTTATTTGGGATACAAATATTTTCATCACCATGTTCAACTAACTTAAGACAGCTATGAGCTCTCCCACATTCATCTATAAAATAATATAAAGTTTTTGCAAGGAAAGTTCAAATTTATAACTGTATTTCTTCGAAAACTAACAAATTTGAATGTGTTGACTTCTAAAAGTTTGAACAAATTATGTGACAATTGGAGTAAGTCTACCAAAATGTAGTGTATAAATAAGATTCCTGGCTAAAGATCACAATTTCTATGAGTATGGAACTTACATTCTCTTTTACAGTTTTGGCCTGGTTCTAAAGCTTTAGTGCATCTATTTTTAGAATTACAAAAATGATCCATTGGACAATCAATACTTTTCTTGCACTTAGAGCCTTCACGAGTGGATGCATGACACATATTATCAATGCAAGATCCTTTAGTATAGTACGAATGGTGGCAATCTTTATTTGTCTCACAGTAATCACCATCTACTCCATTTCCTCCTTTTCCAAAGATTATCCACCACGGGAAGAAACCTTCAGGCTTGATTTCCTCACAATAGGCAGGATACTGGAGTGCATCGGGAGTTTTACCAGCGAAAGTTTTACAAAATCTATTCTCTCCAGCACACGGCTGAACATTCCAGATATCAAAATCATCGTGATCTCTGGTTGCACAGTACTCGATATTTTTTCCATCTTCAACCTTACTACAAGTGTAGACTTTGCAGACATCTCTTGTTGAGACTAAGACAAGAAGAGTTGCAATTACAGCTAACTTAAATACCATCTTTAATATTATTATTATTATTCCATCACCAACAATTTATCACCCACTTTATGGGGTTTTGGGGTTTTGGGGTTTTGGGGTTTTGGGGTTTTGGGG